GCATGCCAACAGAAACGTATCTTTGTCTGCCACATTATCTTTAACTTCTTGTTATCCCTCTCTGGTACTTTACATTTTAGCAATATTAAATCAGAAGTCACTTTCTGTGATGCCTGTACTTTTGCTAATGATGTTCACTCTACCATGTAGTCCTCACATCACTTTTAGACCCGAAAGCTTAATCTGTACATAGCTTTGGTGAAGCTTTCCCTATCAGAGGGCATAGGAGCTTTTCCTAGACTTTGTTATTTACTTCTAGTAATTTGATTATTTTATCACAGTGTGTTTATTTGCTTGATTATATCATAACTACCTTCCTGAGGGCAGAGGTGCGTCTTCTTTGCGTAAATGCTTAGTAAGTATCATGTAGGTCAAGAATGAATATGTTAGGTATGAGGAGAAAAAAAGTTGCCTTTTTTTGAGCAATTTCCTTTTATTTGACAATGGTAGGAAAAACATTTAAAGTCAGTTGAGACCAGACCTGATCAGAAAGAGACCTTGGGTTGTCTTTAGCACCTGTGCAGAAAATTGGTTCAAAACCTAAAGTCTGTACTATGTAAGAAAGAAAAACAAAAAAACAGGACATTAACTGAAAAAATTTTATGACATTATGGCAGAAGTTATCAGATAATCTCCCCTCATTGTTGAAAGAATCTTCAACTCTTATGTACATCTAATTTTTAGAAAACTTATGGCTGATAGTCCAACAACATGTTAGCTTTAAGGTGTGTTTCCCTACCCCCATTTAACAGAATACACTGTAGATAGGGAAGGTGAGTAAATAGAGCACAGAACATCAAGTTTGTGCCCCTAACTTGTCATAGCAGCCACAGGAGACTAATACAGATTTCTTAGTGTCTTAGCCTTTTGCTCTTCCATATGAATTTGGGAATCAGCTTGTAAATCCCTAGATAATATTTGTTAGGATCTTTTTTTGGATGGACTTGAATCTGTAGATTTAATTTAGAGGAGGTTGACATCGGTAGGGTCTCCATTCTTCATATTCCAAGGAGCCTCCACTTATTTATTTAGGCTCTTTTTATTTAAGAAAGACTTGCATATCTTCTTTATAGTCAAGGACAGTTACATTTAAAAAGGATATTAATTTTGTAAAAGGAGGACTTCTGTTTGCTATAGAAGTGAGCATATTGTATTTTTTTTTAGCTAAGTGGCTGATGGTATGTTTCGATTGACATCAGACGGAGATGGAATGGGGAAATAGACTGGTTCTGGGAAATAGACTGGTTCTGTGAAAATACCTCCTTTCTCCATTAGTGGTGTGCTCATTCAGCTTTTTATATTCCAGTAAGTTATTTTGCTCTCAGCATTTAACAAAAAAAGAACAACATAAACATCCTTGCATACCTTGTTCAAGTGGAGAATTTTTATTTTTTTTATTTGACAGACAGAGATCACAAGTAGGCAGAGAGGCAGGCAGAGAGAGAGAAAGGAGGAAGCAGGCTCCCTGCTGAGCAGAGAGCCCGATGCGGGGCTTGATCCCAGGACCCTGGGATCATGACCTGAGCCAAAGGCAGAGGCTTTAACCCACTGAGCCACCCAGGCGCCCCTCAAGTGGAGAATTTTAATTTTTTTTTTTATTATTTATCATATCAAGGAGAATTTTGTAACTTTTTTGTATGAAACTGTTACATGTAGGGCAATCTGTCTTTAAGTAGGGGTAAATACTCTAAAAGAAATGTTTTCTCTTCAAGTCAAGCATCTTGTTTAAAATATTTTATTTATTTATTTTTTAAGATTTTATTTATTTATTTGCCACAAAGAGAGAGAGAACTTGTGCACCAGCACGGGGAGGGTAGACAGAGGAAGAAACAGGCTCCCAGCTGAGCAGGGAGCCCAGTGTGGGGCTCATCCTAGGACCCTGGGATCATGACCTGAGCCGAAGGCAGATGCTTACCTACTAGTGAAAGAGCATGATTGGGGGGGAGAGGGAGAAGCAGGCTCTCTGAGAGCAGAGAGCCTAACATGGAGCTCTGTCCCAGGACCCTGGGATCTTGACCTGAGCCAAAGGCAGTTGCTTAACAGACTGAGCCACCTGGGTACCCCTCTGTTCACTATCTCTAAGCAGTTTTTAAGGAGTGAACATTTTAAGAGAAGCAGTTGTCATATATTGGTAATAATACCTAATATTTTTGTCTATGTAAAATGCTTAGTGCACGGCCCGCCACAACAGCTCAGTGTGGGAGATAGTAATTAATCCCAAAGGAAAGTTGAGTATTAAAAAGCTAGTAAATAGGGGGATATAGAGGAGAAAGAATATCTGGGTTCTGATATCAGCTATATTATTCACTTAATACTTCTGTAGATACTTCATCTATTTATAAAATTAAATAACACTTAAGATATTATTGGAAGATTACATGAAAAAATGAATTTGAAGCACAGAATTTATGGAAGAACTTAAAACATTATTTGAATTTTGATTGGAACCTTAAAAGTGATAAAATTGGATCAAAGAAATTATGACCTGTGCAAAGTCAGTAAGAATTTATTCTTTTTTTGGGGGGGGGTTTTAAAATTTATTTATTTGACAGAGAGAGAGCGAGAGAGAGCACGTGCGCACATGCATGTGAGAGAGAGCATGTGCACAAGCAGAGGGCGTGGCAGGCAGATGAAGAGGGTGAAGCAGACTCCTAGTGGAGCAGGGAGCCCGATGTAGGGCTCGATCCCAGGACCCCAGGATCATGACCTGAGCTAAAGGCCTACGCTTAACTGACTGAGCCACCCAGATGCCCCAGTAAGAATTTATTCTCAAGAAATATGGTATGAACCCCCGGATGATCTCTTTTTTTAAGTTTTAATTTTAATTCCAGTTAACATACAGTGTTATGTTAGTTTCAAGTGTACAGTATAGTGATTCACTAATTCCATACATGTTGCTCTTCATGAGAAGTGCATTCCTTGATCCCCATCACCTGTTTAACCCATCCCCCCACCCACCTCTCCTCTGATAACCATCAGTTTGTTTTCTGTAGTTGTGAATCTCTTTCTCGGTTGGTTTGTCTCTAGTTCTATCCATGTTGTTGCTAATGGCCAGATGATCTTGATGATGGTTTAGATTCTGTACTTTATTCTTAGTCTTTAACCTACCAAAAAGGGATAGATTAGAAAATTATTTAAAAGTTACATTTTGCGGGTGCCTGGGTGGCTCAGTGGGTTAAGCCGCTGCCTTCGGCTCAGGTCAT